TAACTACAAATTCAGGGGGAAGGGTATAGCTCAAGTGGTAGAGCGCATGCTCAGCTTGCAAGAGGTCCCGGGTTCAATTCCCGGCACCTCCTCCAAGTAGAACTCAATGAAGAAACTTAATTACCTCCCCGTCAGAATATAACTACAAATTCAATATTTTAAATAGTTTATTAGTCTGTGTATTCAAGCTGTTTCTTGAGATAGCTTTGGAAGATTTCTGTCTTTGGGCGAATTTGCCTATTGTAGCTAAGGTGTTGAATTTAATGCCATAAGGTTGTTCATGATGCTTCTTTATTATTTTTTTTTAATATCTGTAGAATCTGTATTGATGTCAGTTCTCTTATTCATGATACCAGTAATTTATGTCTTCCCTCTGTTTTTCCTATCTTTCCTATGGCTGCTATAACAAAATACCACAAACTTGGTAGCTTAAAACAATAGAAACTTATTCTCACAGTCTGGTGGCTGCAAGTTCAAAATAAGTTTTACAGGTTTGAAATCAAGGTGTCAGCAGGGTCATACTCCCACCAGATGCTCTAGGGGACCACTTGTTCCTTGCTCTCCCTCCCTTGCCCCAAAAATGATAGCCAGCATTCCTTGGCTATGGCTGCATCCGATCAGTGTCTGCATTCATGGTCACGTTGCCTTCGCCCATTCTGTGCTGAGTCATCTCCTTTTGCTGCCTTTTATAAGGATACATGTGATTGCATTTAGGGCCAACCCAAATAATCCAGGATAATCTTCCCATCTAAAAAATCCTTAACGTAATCACATCTGCAAAGTCTTTTTGTGTGTGTGCTGTTTGACATCTAAGGTAACATTAACAAGTACCAGGGGTTAGGACACATAACAAGTGAGAGGTCATTATTCAGCCTTCTACAGTCTGGCTCTAACTTTTTCAATTTTCTTGGTATTTTCAAAGAACAGATTTTGATTTCATTTCTTTTTTCCTCAGTTGTCTCCTTATCTCTTTCTTGGATTTCCATTCTGGTCTTTGTTATTCTTTTTATCTTGTGCTTATTTTGGGTTTCCTTTGTCCCTCTTTCACTGGTTTTATGAAGTAGACACCAGGGTCATTGCTGTAAATTTTCCTCTGTTCTGCTTTAGCTCCATTCCACAAATATTCATCTGATGCATTTTCATATTCTTCCAGTTCAAAATGCTTTCTGACTCCCATTATTTATTTGATCCATGGGAATGTGTTATTCAGTTTCTAATCTGGGAGGAATTTTCCAGTTACCTTTCAGTTTCTCAATTTCTGTATTAATTTTATTATGATCAGAGAACATTCTCTGTATGACTTAAATCTTTTTAATTTAATTGAGACTGGCTTTATTGCTCAGATTATAATCTATCTTGATAAATGTTCCAAGATATTTACCATGCATTTACTCTTGGAAAGAACATTTGGTTGATAGCACGTTATGTAAATGTCAGGTCAATTTTGTTGATGGTGTTGGTGAACTCATCCGTATTTTTGTTGATTATCAGTCTACTTACATTATCAATTCCTGAGAAAGAGGCGATGAAACATCCCAAGTGTAATTGTGGACTTTTCTATTTTCCCTTGCAATTTCACTAGTTTTTATTTCACATATTTTGAAACTTTTATTAGGTACAAAGACATTTAGGATTGCTATGTCCTATTGATGAATTAATCCCTTTACCGTTACAGGTTGTACTTTCTTGCCTTTTTGCATGCCTGGTAATTTTTTATGGTATGCCACACATTACACATTTTATCTCACTGTTGAACTTAGTTCTGGCATGCTCTTCAGTTACTTGGAAGCAGTTGTGGATTTTAAGCTGTTTTAGATGGTATCCAAGCAGTGTTTAATCTAGGACTAAATTTATACCATTACTGATGTAAAATCCATTCCAAATATTCTTCCTTATGCTCTAGGATTTTCACTCTCAGCCTTGTGTAAATTCCTGGGATTCATTTCTTTAGTCCTTTCCTGTGGCTCTTTTCCCTGCCTTGGGTAGTTTCCTCCCACACATCCACTGATAAGTAGTCAACCGAAAATTCAATAACTGCAGACCTCCCATGTTCTCTTTCTGAATCTCTCTCGTCTCTAGCATGCTGCCCTGTGGGCTCTAGCCACCTGGATCCTGAGCTGCATCTTTTCAATTCATGGAGACCACCAGGTTCTGCCTGGTGTCCCCTCTCTGTGCTGTAGCCTGGATACTTTTTCCAGGTATTAGCTGGGGCACCTGTAGGGTTCATCCCATCTGCTTCCTGAATCTCAGGGGTCACTATCCTTTGCTCCATTATCATGAAAACTATTGCTTCATGCATTTTTGCCTGGCTTTTTAGCTGTTTCATGTTGGAAGTAAATCTGATAACTGTCACTCCATCTTGGCTAGAAGTAGGAGTCAATAGCTGGGGTTCTCTACAAAGTGTGTTCTGGTGCAATTTTAATAATACCTGGAGAAACTTCTGTGGCTCAGCTTGCTCACGGACAGCCTGTCTGTGGGAATGCTCTTATGGGACTGTCCTTTTCATCTCTGCCACCAGAGACCCTGCCACAGGTGGACAACCATTGTGAAGGTTACTTAGTATGAGGTGTTCAGAATGAAGGAAAAGATGAACCCATCTGGGGTTTTTGTATCTATTGTTTTATTATGCGTGATAGTTTGAGTCCTGCATTTCCAATCTACTTTAGTTATCCAGAGGTTTTACTTTCTACTGTGGAAATTTCTGTATTTCAGCAACAAAATGTTTTGTTAAAAATAAAGGATGATATGTTTGTAGGCACAAGATTGTTTTTAATTACAAAAATCAAAAGAAATGTAATAAGTAGAGCATGACATTTTAGATTTTCAGTTATGAATATTGAACCAATTCATACATGATTTTTTCTTCGCTTCATAGCTTCTATGTTGTAAAGATGAATGGTTTGCATTTGTTAAGTCAATTTTACTGCCTAATAAAACTAGGTTTATGATTTTAATGAAGGAAATTTTTTGATTTTGTTTATGCGTAATCAGATGCTCAGCTGTTGTGACCAAAATTTATCTGTTAAAAAAATATAGTCTTATAAAGGCACTACCATTATTTATCCAAACCAAAAGAAAATCCGAAACCCTGATTGTTTTAAAACTAGGAAATAAATATGTGATGCTTATGTAACAGTTTATTTCTTCATATTTTGGCAAGTCAAACTTAAATCCTAATTTGTCATAATCTTCTCTTTGTCTGCCCTGCAAAGTCATTATTACCCAATCTGTCCATCGAATCATGGAACAGCTTAATAGTGATAGTGGATACAGCTATCCAAAGGTTATAACAGATTTCTTGCAGAAGGCCAGTTTCTCATCTGTGCAATTTCCTAAAAGCTGAAAAAAAATAGGGTTTTGGTGTTTTTTTAATTTAGTTTTGTCATCATAGATGTTTTTGAAATTTCCCATGGTGTACAAGATAAATTATAATCTTTTATTTGGATTTCTTGATTTATGGAAATAGGTAGATGTTTCTATGATCCTGTGTACCTTTCTTATTTTGTGGCTGATTTATAGACACCTAAATTTGCAGGTGAGTCTGCAACTGACAACTGATCCAGATGTATTTCAGCATTGTCACAAAGTCTACCTATTTCACACAACCTTTCTGATATACTAGGTTTTAAGATTGCTTTGCTTGAATCTAAAACAATTTAACATTTGTAATGTTCTCAGCCTGCTTTCTAAATGGTTTATGTCCTGTCTTGGCATTTAGAGACAAAATTGTTTGCGGTAAGTCAAGTCTTCCCGCGATTATAATCATACCTGTATAGAGATGAATACACTCACCCCAGTAATGTTCAGTTCTAATTAATGCCCTGGCTTGACATCCCATATTAACTTTTACTGCTAAGACAACAGCATGTTCTGTTCCATTGCCGTGACCTGGAATATTAGATTTCCCAAAGATCATGAAACAGAGAAATTTCCTTGGATTTTGATTTATTTGACTTGGTGTAGGGGTCACTAATGAAAGCGGGCCTCCAGGAAAAATGCCTCCAATGAAGCCATTAGCATCCCAGCGACTCCAGGCTGTTTCTTCCAACAGCAGGGATACCAGAGGTCCTGGGGTCACTCTGGCCCCAGAAGGACACCGTGTACAATAGCTCTTGAGGCTGAGGTGAACGGTGACAAGTGCTTCTGAGAGGAGAAAGGGCACCTTTGGTAATTATGCCCAGACAGCAGGCATCAGTTGGCTACTCGCCTTACTTAAGACCTCAGTGTTTCAGACCTACACCTTTCCAGAACTGATCTAGAGACCAAGGGTTCTGCACCATTGTGAAAACCCATTTATATTTACTTTTTTAAATGATCACTGAATCTCACTTAGGGAAGTATTAAAAAAAATCTAGAAATACTATATATATACATATATATATACATACCCACATAAAATGGACTTCAATTTTTTAATTAACGTTTTGGTAATTTTTCTTAATAATATCTATTGCAGTCATTACCAAGTCTAACATCATCTTCAGACTCCTTAACTTTAGTTAAATAGATTGGAATGGATTTTATTCCTTTAGTTCAATAAGTTGTAATGAATTCTGTTCCTTGTTTAATTGTTTTTAATGAATGCCATTCTTTTGGCTGATTAAAGCAATTTTTCCAGTGACCTTGTATGTAGTCCCACATTGAATGGATTTGTAAGTAGTAATTAATTGCAACGTAAGTAGGAGAACAAAGAGTGCTTAACACAGCTTGTAGGGATTTAAAGAAGCACACTGACAGTTACAGTTATACAGACCTTCCTAGTAGACATAAATGGCTTTAACTTCAGTTCTCTCATTGTTTTTTGTGGTTTCAACTTAAATATGTACTGTTTTCAAAATCCATTGTGCCTCGTTTTCTATAAAAGCACATATGTTTAATTTTAAAATGCCCAGTCATGTTGATTTCACAGAGATTTGGGGATATTTACCCTAATGGGAATAATTACTGTGGGAGCTAAAAATAATAGACATGTCCTTCTTTTTCTTTCTTTTTTAAAAAAGCTGGACCTGTGATCTGCAGAATGCTGAGTTATCCCCCAACTCGCCGAGCTTTAATTGTGGGTTGTGGCCTACAAATGTTCCAACAGCTCTCAGGCATTAACACCATCATGTATGTATTTCTTTCTGGCTTTTTACTGAAAA